GAGGGAGCCCCCGCCGCGGGACCCGAGCAGACCAGACCCGACCCGGCCGCCCGAGGCCGCCCGGGGCCTAGCAGCCGCTTGCGGGGGCGCCGAGCAACTTCGGTGAGTGAGGGGCCGGCGCGGCTGGTGGCGGGTCCCCGGCTTCCGGTGTCCCGGGCTTGTCTGGGGCTTCCGCTTCTCCGAGGGGACCGCCTCCAGTGCGTGGACCCCGTTGTCTGAGGGGACCCGCCTCTCTGAGGGGAGCCCCCTTCTCTGAAGGACCCCATCTCTCCGAGAGAGCCCGGCTACTCTAAGGGGAGCCCTCCTTCTCTGAGGGAACCCCCCACCTCTCTGAGTGACCCCACTTCTTGAGGGGAGCCCCTTTCTCTGAAGGACCGTAACTCTCTGAGAGACTCACTTTTTTGGGGGAAGCTCCCTTTCTCTGATGGAACCTCCAGTTTTCTGAGGGACCATCCTTCTCTAAGGGACACCAATATCTCTTCGAGGGACCACCTACTTCACTGAGGGACCCCTCCCCCCTTTTCTGAGACTCCCCCTCCCAACCTCTCTAAGGCGACCCCTGCTTCTCTGAGGGACCCCTGCTTCTCTCAGGAGACACCTCTGCTTCTAGGGGACCCTCCCCCTCGCTCACGGGAAATCCCTGCTTCTCTGAGCCACTGTTCCCTTTTTCTGATGTGTCCCCTTCTCTCTTTGCTGTTCTAAGGTGCCTCCCACTTTTCATAGGTCCGCTTTCCCCCCACCTTTCTGAGATGCTCTCCCTACTTTTCTGTCCCCACTTCTTTGGGCGATCTCCTTCTCCCAAGTGTCCCCCAACTAGTCTGAGGTGTTCCTACTACTGTCAGAATCTTTTTTGGAGATGTTCCCCACTTTTCTGAGCTGTCCTCACTTTTGATGGGACTCCCGCTTTGTTGATGAGTTCCTCTCCTTTCTTGAGGGAAATGCCCTGAAATGCCCATATGTCTGACTGGATCCTTAGTTTTCTGAGGAGCAGTTCCCCACTTTTCCAAAACATTTTCCATTTCTTTTGGATCCCCTACTAACCTATGGATGCTGCAATGTTTAGAGGCTTCTCCAGAGGTTCTCCCCCTATATACGTCCCACTCCTTCGGGCCCCTCACTTCTCTGAAGTGTGCCTCCACTTTTCCAAGATATCTCCTCTCCTGATGAGAGAGACAGTGGATTTCTTCATTTCTCTAAGGGCTCCCCTTGCCTTCTGAGGAGTTCCGCTCCCACTTGCCTGAGGACATTCCTGCTTTCCTGAGGTTTTCCTTCTGTTTCTCTAAGGGAGAAACTAATCTCATTTCTCCGTGGAGGCCCCAACTTCAAGATTCCCCTGTATCTGTTTGTGGCACCTACTTCCCTCCATTCTGGAAAGAGAGATCAGAAATGTAGCCCCACTTCCAGTCTTCTTTCTTGCCAAATTGGAGGTCTTCTCTGAACTTTTACCTCAGCTTCCAGGGACCTGGAAGATTTTGTGGCTGTAAGGGAAACTGGGTGACAGGCAAAAAACGCTGTTTTCTCTTGTCATTTGAGACCTGCTAGATTTGGGGGAGCAGGAGCTATTGCCGGATGACCACCTGAAACATTGTCCCCCCAATATCACACTGTTAAGCTGTGGGACGACCCACTTCCTGTCCCATCCCTCCAACCTCCCTTTGCATAATATAACAACCCCCTCAAAAAAAAGAAGAAAAAAAGCTCCTTCAGGTCTTTCTGCTGTGTTTTCTCTCCCTAGGCCTTCTGATTTACCCCTTGATCTCTAGAGGGTCCTCAGTTTGTGGTCCACTCTGATTTGAAAGGCAGAGCAAGAAGCAGGAAATGGGTCACCTTAGAGCCAGGAAGGGTAGAAGGGAGGCAAGGGACAGGGGATTTGACTTCAATTCTCTAAGTTTTAGGTGACTTCAGCCTGACTGAAAGAAGTTTTTAGGTGGCTTTTACAAATCTCATATGTACTTTTTTTTAATGGCCCACCCTGGATTCCAAGTTCACTCCGGTAGCTAATTTTATCTGCTTTGCCAAATGCAAAGCTCTCTGGAGCCCAAGTAGATGAATGCTGGCATTGAGAGATGGTCCAAAGGACAGGAGTGAACTCAGTTTGAAACCTGAGTAACTTGTAACCACTTCGTGTCCATACACAAGTCTCAGGCTAAAAACGTGGGGAGAATGTTCCTGAAGTGGAGTTCTGAAATATAGGCTGAGCTCCTGTTTGGTTTAGCATTTCAACAAGTTCTTCCCTCTGACTCTGCTAGAACAGCAGTTCACTTTACAGTTTGACTTAAGGCTGTCTCTCTCCTGTTCCTTTCCATCTGGATCTTGCTTAATTTGAGTCCTTTGTGAAGACTCCTGCTGAGGCTATAATTTGAGTTCTAAATCTGTCGATGGACCATGTGGACACAAGTTTCAACTCGAGCTATTTTCTTCTGTGGAGAAGCCTTTGGAGAGTTTCCTGGGCCCTCTGCTCCTGGAGTAGTCAAGTCCAGGCAGGAAGTTGCTGCAGACCTGGTTGCTCTTCTACTGCCTCTTCCTGGTCAGCTGTAGGTATTGCCCTGAGGGAAAAGGGAAAGATGATGGGAAGCTTGGGGCTTAGGGTGTCCTGAGACAGGGCAGAGAAGTGCCGGCACACATTTATCATTTTAAATGAAACCCATAGAACCAGCAACGTGGAGTGTTAGAAAGGGAAGGGGGAGCTTTGAAGTCAGAAGGACCTGATTCAGATTTTGGGTCTGTCCTTCATAATTGTGTGGCCTTGGACAAATTATGGCACAAAATAGGCATGTTACTAAGTATTTGAGTGGTCGTATCTCTGTGAATGTACGTGAAAGTGCCTACAGATGGGAAGTGCTTCCTAGACATATGAATGAATGAATCTGAGATAATGAACGGGAGGCGGCCAGTACAGCACCTAGCACATGTACAATAAAGGTTGGTTGTTGTACGCAGGAGATTACGATTCTGGCCTGGACTCCCAGACCAGGAAGCACTTGACATTCTGCCAAGGCTAAATATGCCCAAAGAAAAAGAAACTTGGTATGTATCTTGTAAAACCCACTACCCCCTTGGGTCTTGTAGCATTTTCCTGTGTTCAGATAGCAGATGTGAGATGGATTTGCTGTTTGGCAGGCATTTGTGTTTGCATTGGCCTTGCCTTCTCTCTCTGTAAAATGGGGTAATTTGTGATATAAGGGCAAGTAGGGAGATGTATTACTATAATTAGACCGTAGGCAAACTAGAAGATTATAATGAACTTGAAGAATTGTGAGAAGAAAAAAGTGGGTGAACCATAAACCTAAAGGATCGTATCTATATTTTGGGACTGCTTGAGTGAGTTATATGTAACAGTTACCTGGTGAGAGATCTCTTCTTACACATTGGAACCTTGAAAGAACAACTGTTCTTTTAGGGTAATGGATCAGATTTGGGGACAAAAGACCAGGAAAGTGATGTACAAATGCATTTGACACCACACAATAATAGAACATTGAGAGGGCCAGTGTGTGGCTTAGTGCCCATGAGGAGATCAGGATTCACCTTGAGCTTCCAGTATCTAGAGAGCTGTGGAGATGCTAACTCAGCCTCTGGGGGTGGGGGCTGGGGGCTGGGTGGGCAGGACACATTTTTTTTTGAGAGGATTCTTTCTTAACAATTAGTGAAAGCCCTAAAATCATGGCCGGTGAGTTGGGCCCAGGCTTTTTCATTTAGTAGGGTGGGGACAGATGGCACTTGCCCCTGACAGCTAAAACCCAGGGGGAATTAATGGGTGAGAATATGAGCTAGCCCTGCATTGGGCTGCTCCCAAGTTTGAAGAAAAGGTTTTTTTTTTCCCATTGAAATATCCCCTCTCCCTCCCTCATCTCTCTCTCTCTCTTTCTCTATCTCTTTCACACACACACACACACACAAAGTGACTTGACTATTGAGGCCAAGAAATATCCACCAATCTTAAATTTCTCTTAATTATTTTAAGGATAGTTATTCCATTATGTGAGAAAAGAGCAAAGTTTATTATTTTTAAAATGTAAAAAATAAGGTATACAACTTTAAAGGGATCACTATCCCTTTTGAAATTATGCTGTGTCTCTTGTGTGCTACAGACTTCACTCTGGTGGATGGTGGCGCCACCACCAAGTCTCTTTTATCTAACAGGAAGTTTTTTAAACTTTTTTCTTGATTGACAGATCCTTACAGCAATAAAAACCCTTGGATAGTTAGAAATGATATTGATCTAGGTACATTTATTAGATGTAATGTAAAGTGGTTATCCGTTGGTGGGCAGCTCTAAAAGGCATGTGGGTCCCAACACTGCCCAGCTTCTAACTCCGGCCGATAAACTGTTGATTTATATAACTGAAATAGCTGGGGAAGTCAGGGTTTCCTTCCTGTTGGAGACAGCACTGGGGGCATTAAATCCCTGTGGGATCTTGATGATAAGAAAGAAGCTGACCTCTTTTGGAGTTGGGAAATAACTACTGTATAGAGTGGTTCATCCAAATGAATGGATGGTGTTATTTTAAATTTCTAGTATTAAGTCTGGCTTATCCTCTCTGCAGCCCAGCTGCCTTTATACTGGTGCTTCGTTTGAATAAGAATTTATCCCTCCAAGCTGGCCTAAGAGGGACATTTGAGCACTCAAGTAAGGGCTTTACTTACCACAGGTTTTCCTCTGTGGCCATAGGGTAGGTTTTTTTTTTAATGCAACTTAAATTGGATTGAAAAATACAAAGTGTTAAACTTCTGGCTCATGTAACTTCCTGTGCCAGCAAATAATTCAGCAATAAATGAGTGCCTATGATGTGCCAGGCGCACCATGCTAGGTGCTGGGAACCTAGCAGGACAGATGCAGTAGGCCCTTCAGGAGCTTACATCCCAGTTGCAGAGAAGTAAACAAAAGAGTGAAAGAATATTGCAGGGCTCTTTTGGGAATATCTCTGGATGTTGGGAGCTTGGGGTGGAGTTGCTTGGAGGTTTAGAAGTGAAACCTCACTACCCTTCTAATTTCCTCACTGGGCTCCTTCCTTCTGTTTCCTCTCTCTAAAAGGAGATGGAAATTATGGCATTTTCCCAGTTGATTGTTGGCTGTTGGCACTAGTTGATCCAGGATGACT